GTGTGGATGGGCGGGTAGTATAATGGATAACGACTCGAAAGTAGAAATCGAAGAGGCGAATCGAATTCTAGTTGGGTTCGGTACATTCACTTACGTGCAATTACCCTAGAAGGATTATGAATGGAAAAAGGACCTGATCGTCCAAGCGGGTCACATCTGCCTTTACCAGCAAACAGTAGGGAAGGCCTATATCCAACAAAGGGATATTCACAGGCTAAGAAGAAAAGGGCGGAAGAAGAAGAAAGAAGAAGTTATAATCAGTTAGTGTAATGGGGCATTGCTTTTCATTACTCTGGCAAAGGGCTACCCCCAACAAAATGTCCAGATTCTCTCTCTCTCTCTCTCTATATATATATATATATATAGAATCTAGTCAATATATATATATATATATATATAATTATTTATTTGTTGATTCAACATCATCACTTGATAAGACACCGGAGGTGTTGAAACAAAATGGCTATTTTTATAGTGACTTTATAACATGTTTATGTTATAATTTTTAAATAAATAATTATATCTGCTCTACTCTGTATTGAGCACTCTTTTAAGAATAGTAATTTTTAGTTATTGGTTATTTATTCCGTATACACCAATCATATACTTGGGTATATATATATATATATATATATATATATATATATATATATATAAACAATTCACTCCAAACAAGGCGATAATATCACTAAGACGCAAGAAGTTATTTGGAGTGAGAAAGAATGAGAAGACTTTTGATGGAACCGGAAACCCAATCCTAAACAGGAATCATGAGATAAACTTCCTCTTCAAAACGCCGGGGGCTGTGTGAGCGGAACGATAGGTGAAACTATCTATTCTTATAAAGGACGAAATAAATAAATAAAATCTTAAATAAAATGTCAGAATTTAGGCCTAAGCCTAAATTCTGAGATTTTATTTAAAATTCTGACATTTTATTTTAAATTCCGAAATATAGAGTTGAATTAGATTTAGAAGGAACCGGAGGCCCAATCCTAAGCAGGAAACAATGGATAAACCACTACATCTGTTCAAAAAACAGGCGAGGAGTGTCCACCAGATGGTAGGGGAAAGGAATGAAAAAAAAAAGAAGAGAAATAAGTGTGAATATTACATGAAGTGAAAGAGGGTTTAAGAATATAAAAAAGAAAGGAAGGAGAAATAATGAACAAATATTGCATAAATATAAAGTTCAAGAATAAATGAAAGAGCAAAAGTTATATAAAGAATAGAACGTTTAAAATATAAAAAAAGTGAGAAAACGTAAGAAAGCAGATCAAATATTACATAAAGAAAAAGAATCTTTAAGAAGAAACAAAGAAACAAAGAAACAAAGAAAGAAGGAAAGAAAGAAAGAAGGTAAGAAAGAAAGAAAGAAGGAAGGAAAGAAAGACTGAGTACAAATTATATAAAGAAAAGAATGTAAAAGAATATAAAAAAGAAAGAAATGAAAACGCAAGAAAGTAGATCAAATGTTACTTAAAGAAAACGAGAATTTAAAAAGAAACAAATAAACAAAAAAAGAAAGAAAGAGGGAAAGAAAGAAAGAAGGAAAGAAAGAAAGAAGATAAGAAAAACTGAATACAAATTATATAAAGAAAAGAACGTTAAAGAATATAAAAAAAGAAAGGAAAAGCAAGAAAGCAGATCAAATATTACATAAAGAAAAAGCGACTTTAAAAAGAAACAAATAAACAAAGAAAGATGGAAAGCAAAACTGAGCACAAATTATATAAAGAAGAGAACGTTAAAGAATATACAAATGAAAGGAAGGAAAAGTAAGAAAGCAAAGCAAATATTACATAAAGAATGAAAGTGTTAGAAAGAAAGAAAAAGAAAGAAGACGCAAGAGTTATATAAAGAAAAGAACGTTTAAAAATATACGAAAAAAGAAAAAACAAAGAAAGTGCAAATATTGAATAAAGGGAAAGAGATTTTAAGAAAGAAAGGAAGAAAAATGAAAGAACGAAAAATATTACTCAAACGAAAAAAATAAAGTTTTTATTTTTATTCAACGCAGAAGATCGAAGGAAAAAAAAGCTATAAAAGTAAAAAAAAAAAAAGAAAAAAAGAGAAAAATAAAAATAAAATAAGAAAGAGGCGTGTAAGAAAGATGACAACCGTAAAAGTTTATTCGACATCTTTGCTTAGTTGTCACTCAGTGTCGCGCCAGTTGAATGATGCAAAGTGGTTGGTTGATGCCTTCGGGCAGTTCACCGACAGCGACACAAGGCAAGGTTTTCAGACTTTCACTTAACCGGACAACTCCTATCTACGCTTGCCGGAAGGCATTTGCAACTGATTTGTATCTTCCGAATTCAGTAAATGTTTAACAATCCACAACAAAAAGAATTGCAAGAAAGTCTAAGATCGAATGCACTGACCATTTGGGTCAGTATTTCTTAATTAACTTCTATTTAAAAAAAAATCTTTTGATTTTATAGTATATGACATTTACTTGAAGTTTGAATGTTTTTAAATGTTGACAGATAGAACGCAAGACAGGACTTGTTTTTCAGCATTTTTCCGATACATTTTTGTATTTTCTAAGTTTGAAAGGTATCCAGTGAGGCCCAAATCAATTTGACATATAGTGAAGCTCAAATTTGGCATCTAATGACGATCAAATTAGTTGGGCATATAACGAAGCTGAAATAGTTTGCTTGTCGCAAAGAGCAAATTATTTTAGCACTTAAGATGACTCAAATATAGTTGGGCATTTACTGAGGTTCAATTTAGTTGGGTATCGAGTTAAGTTAAAATTATTTAAGCCTCCAAAGGACTTCAGATTACTTGAGCATCTAGTATTGCATCTAATAAGGCTCAAATTTATTTTAGCCTTTAATGAAGTTCTACTGACTTACAGATAATTTAAGCGTTTACAAGGCTCAAATTGGCCATTTAATGATGTTTAAATGTCTTGGGCGTTTAGTAAAGTTCAAATTACGTGGGCGTTTAGGTAAAATTAGTTGGACATGTGATGTATGTAAAATTATTTGGGCCTTTATTGAAGCTCAAATAAGTTTGGCATATAGTTAAGCTCTAATTAGCTGTGCATATCGTTAAGCTCAAATTAGTTGGGCTTCATATGAACTTCAGATTAATCGGGCATTTAGTGTGTCACTATTATTTCACCATTTAGTGAGGCTCAGATTAGCTGGGCATATAGCAAAGCTCAAATTGGTTGATTATCTTATGACGGTGTGCACATAGGAGGACTCAGATTACCGACATGTTTTGTTGTGTAGTTAACTACCGGACGTCTGAAAGTTATTTCCTTTTAATCAATGCATACAAGGCAAAGTGTTAATGCCACTAAGACGCAAGCAGCTACTGAGAATGAAAGAGAATGCAAAAACATTAGTAGCACCTGGAAACTCAATCCTAAACAGGAAACAAGGGATAAATCTCTACCCCTGTTCAAAACACCGGGGTGGAATGTGAACTGGACTATCTACTCCTATTTGATTGAACTCATAGAAGATTAAACTTTTTAAAGTCATTATTTGACACTAAGAAAGCTCTGATATGCAGATATCTGCAATAGAATAGTCACGTCTTTGGTAACAAGCACAAAAATGTTTTCTTGTCGTTTGCTTAGAGAGATTATATTGGTATGATATAAGGCCTCGATTTCAGAGTTCCTAATTTAATTGAGAATTCAGTAGTCATAGTTTACAAAATTAGACTGTTAATTATTGATTAATTGAAATTCACTAGTCCAATATCCTTACAGAAAGGTTTTCTTTTCTTGGCTTATTACTACAATTCTCCGAGCTATTCTGGAATGGTTATTATTAGCACGTGTGGTTCTATTTCCATATCAGCCAGGGGATGTTTTATTCGATGCAGAGCCTTTCAGTAATAGTCAAAGAATATGATTTCCATATTTGCCACTTACATCAAGAATGATGTTGAGCCATTTCTTCAAGTGCAAAGGGAGGGTGAATATGCATCCAAAAGAAAGAAAGAAAGAAAGAAAGAAAGAAAGAAAGATAGGGAAACCTGAAAAAACGGACAGTAAAATAAAAAAAATAAAACTCGAAGAAAAGAATAAACGAAAATACCTAAATAATAATTAGAAATTCATAAAAGAAAAAAAAAAGTAAGAGAGAGATGGTGAAAAGTAAAGACAAAAAAGTTGACGAAAAGAAAGAAAATGCATAAAAAAGATGATAACGTTTATAAAATCAAATAAAAAGAACGAAAGAAAGAAAATATATAAAGAAAAGAAAGTTTAAGTATATAAACAGCAAAGGAAGGAAAAAGAGCAAATATAAAATAAAGAGAAAGAATTTCAGAAAGAAAAGGAGAAAAAAAGAGAGGAGATGGTGAAAACTAAACTGAAGTAAATGTAAAATATAAAAGGAAATTCATAAAACGAAAAAGAAAGAAAGAACAAGTTTAATAAAAGAAGAAAGAAAGAAAGAAAGAAAGAGAAAAACAACTATAAAAAACAACTATAAAAAACTAAGAAATATATAAAAAGAAAGAGAGAAAGATCATTGATAAAAGAAAAGATAAGAAAGATATCTATAAAAAGAGAAGTTGTCACGCTTTTACAGACTGCAGGGTTGCAGGATAAATTGCTTCATTGCGTCCAGTTCAAGAGGTCAGATTTTGAACTAGGAGAATTGAAATACTCTTTTTCAAGACAGGCTGTTTTTTTTTCTTCATTAACTCCTTATTTTTCCTTATGAGGATTTGAAACTACGTGTTCTTGGGTTCATAGTACCGGTCACAGTGGCATTCGAATATGAGAGATAAACTCTATTTTCCTGGAATTTACATTGACATTATCATGACATAAAATCCATACAGAAATTGGCTGACATCACATGGCAACAATGGAAAGACATGTATGAGGTTTCTGTCTATATTTCTGAGATGAGGTATTATGTACACTATTTACATTATTCGGACTATTGTCCTCATCTTTGTTGCCATATTTATCACAACGTTTCGGCCGTTCTGTACTTCTTCAGGTGGTTGGAATGTCG